ACCGGTGGCCATGGACAAAGGCAAGTCAGAAGCGGGCACGAGAAGAAGGCAAAGAAGAACGCGAGATGAAGAAGAACGGCGCTGCGTAATCAAAACCCATAATCTGTTTCTTCCCCAAACTAAACAATGTTTAACCCTAAGCAAAATCGTTCAAAAAAACTTGGGCCTTGCCCTTCCTGCGCCTAAAGCCCAAACGAACTTCCCATTCATACCCCCTGTTCTACTCATCTTTTCTTTGAATTGCGTTTGGGCCTCAAATCTTAAAGCCCACTTCTGATTTTCTTTCAAAGCTTTTCTTTAACTATCACATTCTTTTTTTATATATACCAATTAACATGAGTCTCTTTATTACATCAAATTTCTTTATAATATTTTTTATAGCATAATCCTAATTTTGAATATAATATATTTTTCCTCTAACTTAAAATATTTTCATTTTTGTACATTAATATCTTAATATCTTAATACATGAATACATAAAAACACATTATTTAAAACACTTTTTTTTATTATTTTCACTAAGTTAATACATTTTCCTTTTTAGAAATATTTGTACATACATTAAAATACATTTTTATACATAATTTAAATTCTTAACATTTAATTAAAATATTCTCTTTATACATAATAAATAAAAATATATTTTTTATACATAATTTAATTAATTTAAAACATTTAATTTAAATATTCTTTGTATATATCAAACACAAAATATAAAGATACATTTTATATCAAAAGGTAAAAATGACAATTTTCAAACTTAGAATACTTTCTTTTCTTAAATTTTCTTTTTTAAAGAATATACAAGACTACAAAAGATTAAATAGATAAATATTTAATTCCTTTCTTTAAGTTAAAACAATACCTTAAATAATACACATTTAAATTCACATTGTCGCACCTGTAAATAATTACATACACATATACACATACACTTACACAATATACTTACATTTGATACATTATACATTTGCTTATTTTGTATATTCGTTACATTTACATTTGATCGCAAATTCGATTTGGTTGTAACTTATTGGACACTACATTCCTAAGTCTCATCCCCATTTGTGAATTTGTACCCCCACTCCCGGATACTTATTTTGTAATAGCGTAGGCTTTACATTTCCGCAATTTACCGCTTTCGAATTATACCATGGTTAGACCTAGGGTTTGCATGTACATAAAATCAAACGCTAGATAACCTAATACAAGACAAATACATGAAATCAATACACAATCACACTTGCACCCCCTAGGGTAATCCCACATGTTGCCTTCCAAAATGGGCCATGCTTGCACGTCGAGTTTCTTTGGCAAAACAAATTCAAATGATCATAAGTCCCTCGATGACGCTTTCGAAAGTTGCCTAAATGGAATGATCATAGTCCCTTCAAAGCAAATTGCCGAAGATACTTGGCACCATTGCAATCATGGTCTAAACGATGACCCGCGCCCGTCCCTTTCACATCCTAACACAAGATTGTCCACCAAATACAATGGTGGAACAAAATTGTTAAAAGGGTTAAAACATAGCAATAATCTTTGAGAAATTTAGGAGTAGACAACCTCTTAGTTACTTGAATCAAACTTGCAAAACAAAAACACTTGCCTTCTTTTCAAAAACCACACTCCACAACACTTTCAAAACAAACTCTTCAAAAACATCTTGAAACATCTTTTCGAAAAGATACACACCTTCGCATATACTCAAACACGAGTCAAAAACATTGGTTGCCTAAAACAAGGCATCTCTTCAAAAACATTTTCAAAACACACACACACACACACACCACAATTTCAAAGCAATCGAAAATCAAGGCAAGTGATCTAAAAACCAAGTAACTAAGAGCCCATGGATAACCATGGATGAAAAGGGTGCTAATACCTTCCCTTTTCATAATCTACCCCCCGAACCCACGAAATATCCCAAAAGGTTTTTGCTGTGCTTTTTAACCTTTCCTTTAGGATAAAATAAAAAGTCGATGGTGACTCTTGCTCAACCGAAATATTTGCGAAAACAAACGCAAAACCATAGTCAGTTCTCCCACCGTATCACAGATACCACTAGGGACGTCCCCCTATTCAACAATAATATAATCATGTTGATTCTCATGACAAACATTCTAAGAGCACCAACAAATACAATGTGATAAAGAGAAAAGATCATTATCTTAAGGATCCCACAACATTCTAGATATAAGGAGATTGAATCACCAGAAATCCAAGAGAGTCGTCGAAGCAGAAAAAAAAATCAGAGAAGAAGAAAAAAGCACATGGTTCAAGAACAACAACGAGAGGGAATAAGAATAAGTGGTTCACAAATGAAGAAGACAAAAAGAATGATCAAAGAATAGGAAATAGGTGACACAATGATCTATAACCAAAATCAAAGAAGCGCAAAAGCGTGATCAATGACTCAAATTTGACCTTGATCTTGTAACGACACCCGAGTACTCTAAAGACATCACCCCATATGCTAGAAGCCTAGGATCAGATGGGGAATGTATACTCCGAAATGTTTCAGCTACAAGACAAGCATTTCATGGGTTTCCGAGATCACATGCTCCCATTCAACACATCTCTGGCCTCTTCCCGATTTGGAAGTTTTCCCGAAAGCCTTAGAGCATCTCCGATGGGAGAAATATTTTTGGTTGCTTGTGTCTTATTTTGTGGGTCTAAAGTGCCACATTACATATAAGAAATTCATAAGCAATTTTTGTCAACCTTACTCCAATGGTGATTATAAATAAGCAATCTAAAATTGATCCCACCGATTTATATTATTTTATTTGTATTAAATTTTTTTATGTGTAAAAAAGATTTCACTTTTTCATGAGAAATAATATTGTAATGATAAGCAATGTGTTCTTGTTATTACTTATTTGGGTAACATTTCTAATTTTTAAGCAATCTAGAGTGCCAACTAAGTAAACTCTAATGACAAATTAAAATAAGCAACATAGATTATGGTTAAGCAATCAACAAACAACCATCCATTGGAGATGCTCTTAAAGAACCAAAAAAGAGCGATCTGAAGCTAGGTCTCAATATTTCTATCATAATCCTAACTCCATATCGGTAAAAAAATTATTTTGGACCAATCAAACAGTCCAAAAAAACCGATCCAATACGAACGACCCAACCTAACATGCCCCTATTCAAGAGTGATGAACATGTATACTTTAACCACGAGGTCGCACACATGAGTGAGGCCACATGATCGTCTTAACTTATCAGATCTAATCCAACTGTCTCTCATCGTTTGTGTCTGACCTACTAAGAGCGGTTCCAACTGTTTACCATATATAAACTCAATTATGTGACATGACATGTACTTTTCGTACAATTTCATTCACTCTTGCAAGTTACACCTCTTTAACCTCACTAACTTAGGCGTTGGAGTGCTAACTTTGCAGGTACACCTCACAATTTATCTATCAGGGACTTATATCACTGTATTGTAGAACTTTACGACACCTTTCATCAACTCACCATCAATCTTATGCTCTATGTCGAAATAGTCATTATCAATCTTCTATTTCACACCAGAATATTATCCATATTAGAATGTCATGAAACATATATTTAGGTTATGTTTGGTAAAACTAACTGGTAGCTGATAGTTGGTAGCTTTTAACTAGTAGTTGATAGTTGATAACTGGTAGTTGGTAGCTTATAGCTAGTGACTGATAGCTGATAAGCTAACATGAGTGTTTGGTAAATTAGTTGTTTTAATAGTTGATAGTTACAAAATGATATAAAATGTCATTTTAATTAATAAGGATAATAATATATTTTTGTTAAAATAATAAGGATATAAATAAAATGACATAAAAACTACTTCAAATAATTTTTGAAAAAAAAAGATAAAAACTAGTAAAAAAACTACAAACTAAAAACTAAAATCAAATTATCAAACAAAACTATTTCATTAATGTGAGCTGAAAAGCTTAAAAATTAAAAATTAAAAACTCTTTTTTAAGTCTTACCAAACAGACTGTTAAAGACATATTCACTTCAAATATATAGAGTCAAAATCTATTTAAGTAACTAGTTAAACTAATTGACATGACTATTTATATCTAACAAAATTATCAACATAGTGGGAGTGGAAGGTCATTAGCATAGCGTCCATGATCATTATTACTATTTGGTAGTTTTCTCATCTTAATTAATGTTTTAATAGAGGCAAAGTAATCTTAATTAAATTTGCACCTCCACCTTTACTTCTGTTATTTTTCAATAAAGGAATGTTTGTGAGATCTCATATATCATCCGTAAGTACAATGCATCAGTTTTGGTAACATTCATAATCAATATTATAGAATGCAAAGGTAATGGCATCAAAACAATACATATGAATTATAAACTCATAAGATATGTGGTTCCTTTAATCAGATCAGAATTCATTACGGTTCATGAATGTCAGAGATTAATTAATCTACGTTATCCCAACATCCTAATCTAATTTGTCTACTTTTTGTTAACACAAGCATTGACAAGTAAGAATCTTGTAATACTTTATTTTTTCATAGTGTCCTATAACATGGTTTCCTCTTAAGTAGCAAGGACTAAATACATAAAATAGTACAATGTTTTATGCCACGTTGCCACGTTTATTGAGCTGGAAGGAGAGTGATGGATTTGTAATTAGATTAAATGCAATGAATTTGGAAAGTTGTGTAGAGGAATAATCCAGGGTGTGGTTTTTATTATAGATGAGGTGTGTGTGTGATGAAAGGTTGTTGTGTAGAGAGGTTTGGTGTATATATGATGTGAAGAAGAATTCATCATGTGAATGCATGTGCATTGAGTTGGAGAACATGCTCAAAGTAACAAAACAACACACTTAGGTACATCTGTCTCTCTCCCATTCCCTTGGAAGCCTCCTTTTAAAGTGTCTATTGTGGCCCCCATTTTAAAGTATTACCTTATAAATGTTCTCTCTTGGTGTATCATTTTTGCATAGTCTTTGAAACTTGTAAGTTCACATTCTAGTTATGGGAATTTCTTCACAAACTTCTTTTGATGCAATCACTTTGAAAGAAGCTCTTCAAGGAAGTAACAATTCATCATACTTGTGGAGCAAGGTATTGGATGGACAAGCCAAGAAAAAGGTGAAGAGGTCAAGAAGAATCTCCATGAAGAGAAGGGTTGGTTGTAGAAGAGGCTCCTATGGAATTCAGAGACGTGTGAGAACATTGAAGAGACTTATACCAAATAGTGATGAGTCTATTGGGTTGGAAGGACTTTTTAGAGAGACAGCTAATTATATATTGTCTTTAGAAAATAGAGTGAGAGTTATGAAGGTTATGGTTGAGGTATTGAATGGATCTGATGAGTGATTGATTCATTTTGTAAAGACCAAACCAAACAATATTAATATGGTTTGTTTTTAGTTACACAAAAGATTGATTTTGGATATTGTTATATGTTTATTTTTCATGTCCTCTAGAGTTAGATAAGTTTTATGATTATTTTGTTGTGTCAAAGGAGAATCATATTACAATTCTTTGTCATTACTATATGTAATTGTATTTATCATTACTCACTCACTTGGGTTATTAATTGCTCTACTTATTTTTATAATTATGGTTCTAATTTTTATTATGTTTGCAATGACTATGGATTGTGTACTTTTGCTACTTATTGGATTCTCTTACATCTTCCTTTTCCTATATTGAAGCAGTGGTTTCCAGTGCATTTTAAAGGTAGATAAGAGGTAGACAATGAGTGTCTCTAGAAAACAACACCAACAATATATATCAAGAGGGAGGAGGATTTGCTATCTTTAGGGTGCAAACTGCACGATACCTTTCTCTCTTTCTCTCACCTACAATTCTCTCTCATCTTGTTTCATTTTCATTTTTTTATTTTATTTTTTACAAAAGTTGCACAAAAAATATCTAAAGTCACAGAAGGCAAAGTTAACAAATCTTTATCTGTCCATTTATATTTTTTTTTTATCTATTCCTCTATCTCACTTTTACTTTTTATTTTGTTTGAATTCATACCTCCATTAATGCACAAGAAGCTTTAAGAGAGAGATTGTAACAAACTTTCTAACAAACACAATTTCTCAAATTGTGATTCAATCAATACAAACAAATTCAGTTTATATACTCTAACTGAAATAAAAGCTCAATGTAAATGAGACTTAAATGCAAGCTAAACTCGAATACACAATAAATTCAACTCAAATGCACACTCATTAAACTAAACAACCAATGACCCTAAGAAACATCACCAAAAACATGGATCAACGTGGGGAAATAAGCATTAAGAAGCTCTAGTAAAAAATCAAAGAAAGAATTTAATGAGATAGAAATTCTTCATTGATTATCATTGTGACTTACATGAAGTTTATATAGTAGAAGTATCGCTGCATAGTAGTTATGGTAAGTTTGCTCTATACAATCATATCTCCTAACAAACTTAATAACTACTATAATTAACTTAAGTAACTACCTCTACCTATATTAACTAATCAAGTGAGACTTGTGGAACAAGTTAGCTTTCTCTAACTTGTTCTTGTTGTAATATCTCCCTACAAGTTGTAGGATAGATGTTAATCATGTCTAATATGGATAACACAACAATCATGATGTTAAGACATCATGTAGGATATCAGCTCCATAATATAAAATCCAATCAAATTGGTTATTGATCTATTGTTTAAAGGACTCATTATTCATAAAAATAATTTCAATAACCTCCCATTAGAACACACATCCAGTGCATCTTACTCAGGTTTTTCTAAACACCTGAAAGTAATGGAGAGAAATAAACTCTCACATATTCTCTGAACCACAATGTTCAGAATGCAGATTTGCATGATTTTCTCAAACAAATACTTAGTCTCCCGTCAAAGTATTCACCATTAGTCTTCATGAACAACCACCTTAGAGGACAGACAAATACTCAGTTCCCGTCAAAGTATTTATCAAAAGTCAGATATGATTACCTTCTTACACAAGGTAGGCCATTTGGTCTGACATCCTTCTTCTACATACCTCTGGAACCAACTGATGACATTTATTCATGTCATAAAAGTATTTCAAATTAGGTCAGTGGCTTGATCTTAGCTCCACTCTGGATAATAACAACTTCTTTGGCTAAAGGAATAACACAATCTTTGATATGATTATCCAACATCGGATCTGACATCAGTCTCAAACACATGGATTTCACCATTAACTATGGTCTAGAGACACCATAGTAATCCATAACTTTTGCAAGGGATACAAGAGGATCAACCATAAGTAGTTGATCATCTTTCCACACTGAATCTTACACACATGCAGAAACATGCATATCACACATCTCAAGAATCTTCTTCTTAAACTTCTAAACTTCATACCTTCTGTCTAACTTTGAGATGTTGAATGGCATTCTTCTGCACCTAAAGAGGAGATTCCCTCTAATAGGTATCTAGAGTAAACTTCAACAACCATGATAATGTATGATCATGTTTCACCACAAGCAGACCGTTCAGACTAAGTCTACTTCTCCTAATACACAAGGATTCCCTTCAGTCCTTGCAGACACATTTGTTCCATTATGTGAGGACACCACATAATTGAACCATAACAGAGAGAGGAACTTCCCATAACTCCTCCTTGCTTCAAACAACTGAGATGCTCATTCTAGGTGATTTGGATGACTCTCTATAGTGCAGACACCAATCAATCACATAATTTCGGTTGACATTCCTCCAATACTCACCATCCCTTAAAAGACATTTCCATAACAACAGAACAAGAGTTCCTTGTTCTTATATACTTGGTAATAATACCAAGTTATAGTAGACAACCTCCATCCTATTTATGAAAATAACCACCAGTCATATTGAGAAAAATAAATCCTCAAAACAAAGATGTCAAAATATTATGTCTAACACTTCTTCAAGTTCTTCTAGCTTCAGATTAAGAACTCCCCCTTATTAATGGCTAAGAATTCCTTGAGAAACATATAGTAGTTTCACATCATGTGATTAGTGCATTACTTCCCTCAATTAGAATTTGTTTCATGTCCATGAACAATATTCCATAAGCCTGTCACCTTTGATCAGAAGGATCTTCCAGATGTTAAAGAGAAAGTTCTGGCACTATAGCTTGTCCTCCATATATAAAGGATTCATATGGGATACCTTTATCAAGCCTCCATAACAATGCACAACCATTGATCACCAACTCACTTAGATCAGAAATAAACTAGTCTAAAGAGTGCCAAATATGTTGATCGTGTCCTGACCAACATACTTATCTAAGACATGTTTCTATCATAGAAACTTCTTAGGTACATATGTCTCATCTTCCAGATCAGGAGTATGTTCCAAACATATGTGATTTAAGACACATTTTTTAACCCCCAAGCATATAATATAACGTACCTTTGTCCAACCAGATTATGCATAATCTGTTGCTTGATGTTCCAACATCTGGTAGGACATCAGTTCCTTTACAAAGAACACATCAAGAGATCCTTTATCAAAGCTTGGAGATTGGCCTTTTAGGGTTGAAAGCAAAAATAAATTGCCTCTACCAGATCTCTTTCCAACAAACTCACATAAGAATGCCTTTATGAGTGGACTTGGGATAAACCTCAAGTATCTTTGGCTGCTCTAGCAAGCTAGTCAAACCTCTCCTCAAGTATCACCACACCATAGGATACACCTTCAGAGGAGAACAGTGTGTTGTATCCTCCATACACAAAACCACCAAGAGTTTTCCATCATATATATACAGTGGAATACAAACTAGAAAAACTCCTCAGCCACCTTCAGGCCAAAATAGTAACCCTTGCACAACACCGTCCTTCAGGTGCAACAGGTTAACCTAGATTTGAAAATAAATCAAACCCTGAACACAGTAGCTTTCCATAAAAGCTACACGCCTGAAACTAGCACAGACATGTCCAATATACACCCTGTCACAAACAATCCATCCTCCACTTCTAGGGACCGTTCAAACATCAATATGAACTCTCCAAGTTCATACATATTTTCAGTAGAACCAATCTACCTTTCACATAAGCAGAAAGTATCCCCTTTGGATGTCATCCAGAAACAGACAGGATGTATGCTCTAATACCAATTGAAATTATGGTATGATAGAACTCAATGTCCTATAACATGTTGGGACATCTGATTCGACATAAACAAACAGGTAAGGTATTAACAACAAAAACAGTACTTAAAAGTATAAATAACACACATAATTGTTAACCCAGTTTAGAACAACCTTCATACTCTGGGGGCATCCCAAGCCAGGAACAAATCCACTCAAATAGTATCAATTCATATACCCTACAACAAACCTCCAGCTTACATCCTAATCACTTAATCACTACCCTTTCTAGATTTCTATCTAAGACTCACCTAGATATTAGGCCCTCCTCAATCCCTCTTCAATCACAAACAGCGGTTGGATCAAAAACAATTTTGAACAAACAAAAAGGCACACTTCCAGGACAATCACTAGCCAAGACTCTTGACTAATACCACAACTTGGAGTTACTTCAAAGATTCCTCTAAGAACAATACTTACTCTTGCTTCACAGCTTCGAGGAGAACACAGTGACCATCTCACAACCCGAGTGGTTCACACATACTAACTCTCCTAGAGAGTTGCTAACAGACTCGGCCTTAATGATTTCATATTTTAAATTCTTGGGTGGTACAAATCGTAGGTTACAAAGCTTCTATTTATAACATATACCCAATTGGATTTGGGCCTTCAAATAACAGCTTTTTGGCTGTTATAAACAACAATAACTTCTGCTACAAATAAGGTATTCAATTAAATCTTCCTAGATTATCTCCAAATTTAGAAACTGTATATTCCTTAATATTCTGATTGATTCTTCTTGACTTTTAAATCAACATCCTATAATGTTGCATAATATTTACCAAAATATTCTGTATCAGTTAACTCATAACATAATCTAACTTTCCACTTCAACTCGGGCGCGATGTCGTATGCTCCTTCATAGGACATCTTATATGACATGTTGTTCTAGATGTTAAAACACTTCAACTCAACATGTCATAACATAAGATAGAACTTCTTGCTTAACATGTTCCTGTTAGCAAGTTAATACATCATATCTAACATGTTGTTGTATTATTTGTTTTACAAAAATTAATGTCAATCCTTAAAACTAGAGAACTTACACACAGCACTAATCATTTTCATTCATGGAGAAGGTGGTGATTACACAATTATGGAGCTCAAGAGTCCCTCATTAATTGAGGCTCTTCATGAAGCCATGATACTCACTATATAAAAGGACTCCCGACAGAGGGATAAGCAAGAGAGATTCATCTTAGGATGCACGCATCACT